AGTGTTCTCAAACACAGATACACTACTCACACTCCAACTAGCCAAAGTATTTTCACAGTAAGTTGATTTCCTTCTGAACTAATTTAAGTAGTTGCAATGCTTTTTAAGAGAGAGATCAGTACAAGAATAACACTAACAATGTGGACTTTCTGTACCACACCCTCCATACAGTCCCCTTATTTTATGGGCTGAGGATTGTCATTTTGCATTCATTTCCTATGATCCTGTGATTGAGGGCCATCTCTCTGTGATTGTATCATTATTTCCCGTCTTATTGTTTCCCAGCATCTAACTCAGTGTCTAGTCCATGATAGGTACTCAATAAATATTCATCAAGTGAATGGAGTGTTGTAATTTTGTTCTATTCCACATAGTTTTCCATGTACAATATTATTGTAGATTATGACCTGTTAAGAGATAGTCAAGAAATTTGGATGAAAATCATCTTTATCACAGTCACATTTACTTAGCAGAGGTTTCCCTTCAAGTCAAAAGCTGTAACCACTTGTTAACATATTGTAGGTTCCCGGGGTGTATGTACTATTAGGCAGTGAGCAGAGGTAACAGAAAGCAATATGTGGCATCTATACATACTTTTCATTAGGTTGTGTATTTTATTTCCAGGTGGAGCCCTGTTCAACTTGTTTAGCCAGTTTTCCAGTTTCTTGGCAGATTATCCAATGGTTACTTGTTTTTAGAAGTACAATACAGTCAATCCAGTTATAATATTCAGTACCATATAAGTGTCATAAATATGGATATTTTAAATCCATAATCATCCCAGATGATTGGAATGGCTTTTGATATAGTTAATAATGGTACATCTTACCTATGATATTTTCCCAATCTGTAAGGAATTGATCCTGGAAATGTGAAATTGAGTAGTGTCCCTGGCTTGCACTACACTGATAAATAAACTCTGTGAGTGATGGCAATGAAAGCTTTAAAAGTTAATGATATTTCCTTTTGTCAGAGTTGCTTTTCTCGTATGTCATGTGTATTGCATGTCCTTTATTGGATCTCATTCTAAATGTGCCTGACAATTGCATCTGGGGTTTTCAGTAAACATTAGAAATTAGTTTGAATCACTGAGGAGATCTCCCACCACCCACATTCCAGATCAGTGAAGTCATATCTAAAGCATGAAGTCTTTTTCCAAAATTAATGGACAACCCTGAGTGTCATTGCCCTGTCTGTGGAGTCCTGGTTTCTCACACTTTTGATGGTGAATACACAGGTGCCATAACCCAAAGATCTGAGGAAACTACCCATAATGAATGTTCATATCATATGTACTTGTACATTTTTTTAAAAGAAATTTTATTGAGGAACAGTGTGTTTTTCCAGGACCCATCAGCTCCAAGTCAAGTAGTTGTCTTCAATCTAGTTGTGAAGGGCACAGCTCCATGGCCCATGTGGCAATTGAACTGGCAACCTTGGTGTTGTGATCCTGCGCTCTAACCACCTGAGCTAACCGGCAGCCCCCTGTACTCGTACATTTAATCACATAAATTAATCTAGAGAGGCTAGAATCAGGGAGGGATGGGACTGCATACTCAAAAAGGCTCCCTTTGACTGTCTTCCAGCCATACCTCCTTACAAAGAAAGATTTCTGTGGGGTCAAGGCAGTGTACTCACCCAGAGTCCAGGACTGCAGAATTCCCAGCCCAAAAGACCTCAAGACTATTTCCAGGGCGTGTATGGGCCTCTTCTCCAGGTTTACTATCCCAAGCATAGGAGTCACCATCAATGCAAACGTTTCTAGGCACAAGCACGGAGGCCTAGCAGACACACTAGTCATGTAACGCTCCTCACAGAGGTGGGCAAGAAGGGTGGGCAATGGTCCAGGATGGCCACGCTTTCCCCAGGCCACAGTGTTCCAGTAGGACTTCGAGGAGTTAAAACCTGGCCTGTCAGTTCATGTGTAAGCTTAGATGTCAAGGCTTGACCATATTTTAACAGTTTGTTAACTTGATTTATAATGGTTAAATATTTAGACATATGGCACGTGGGTCTCCATCTGTGCACTTGCCTCCGGCCTCTCAACTGCTCTGCACAGGCTTGTATCATCCCGCCATTGCATTCAGTGAGAATATGAAAGGCACCCATCAGTGAACATGAAATTGTGGATTCTCCATTTGCCTGTGCTTTGTGTAGTGTTATCCTCCCTAGGGCAGTGAGATTTTCTATTGCTTAAAAAATATGTTTTCTGTTTAACTTGGTGCCTAAACACAAGCCAACTACTTCATCTCATGCTCAANAAAAAAAAAAGAAGTAAGTGTTATCCATTTAAATGCCTCATGGTAGCTTCCACCCTGTGGAGTTGTAGGGACACCCAGCCTGGCTGGGGTTTTGGTGTTAAGTTGAAGGAGTGGTAGGGAAGTAAACAATGAACCTCAGGTGAAGTGACTAAAACTCCAGAGAGTTCCAAAAACATTTCTATTCTTCACTATTCAACAATACCTCCCCCCCACAAACTAACTCAGTTTTCCATGTGTCAAGCACATCACCCACCTAAATTTCATTTTTCAACATTTTGGAAAAGAAGATTTCAAGGATTTCTCAAGTACATATCCAAATAATGAAGACTGGACAACATGTTTATATTTGTAAGCTCATCTAAAGAAAAAAAATACTAGTATGTACAAGAAATCCCAATATCTAGTTCAAAAATGGCATAAAATTAACTTTCTATTTTATGTTGAATATGTTAAAAATAGAGTGGGGCTTTTATTCTTGGCTCAATTATGACAATTAAGAATTATTGTTGTTAATTAGGGATACTCTCTGGCATTTTCCCATCTCCTGGTAATTATTTATGAGAAGTCTTTGGAAAGATTTGAGCTTAATGGAGGTTTGAATGTCTTCTAACTGTAGGAAATTTGGACCTTATAAGAGGACAGCACACCCTGTTCCTCTGTGGTTTTCAGCCTGTCAATATGTTCAGTGTTTTCAAATGACATGCTTTATTTCCTTTTAATCTAGCTCATTTGTGGTCGAACGACAGCCATGCATGCCAACCCACCCTCAGAGGCCGATGGTACTTAAAACTCTCATTCAGTTCACTGTAAAGCTAAGGTAGGCAGACTGTGTTCGAACATTTCATATGTTTATGGAGCTAAGCCACTGCATAATTAAGGCTCATTTCTCTCATTGTGCCTTTCATTCAACCATTCTTTCTTGAGCGCCTTCATGTGCATGCCCAGCTCTAAGCTGTGGTAAATACGTACAACAATGATGTTAAAATGAGGGTTCTGCTTGTAAAGAAAATGACAATGAAGATGACGACATGAGGTATATTATCATGAAAGTATGAAAGCACAACATCGGGCAACATGAGATTAATTGCTAAAAAGGTTGACTTGAGAGAAGACTCAAGAGACTGGACAATGCCTTGCGGTCACTGTGAGAAAGGACCTTAAGGGAAGAGCAGAGAGGGGAGGGAAAGCGGGATTGCAGGAGAGGAAGACTATAGAAGTAATGACTTCCTGGATCTGTTTTCTAAGCATGTGGAGCAGGAAGAGGTAGAATTGCAGAGACAGAGTAGGGACAGATTATGAAAGGCTTTAAACATCCTATCCAGGAAATATAGTGGCACATTCTTCCCTTGTAATTACCCAACAACTATTGTAGTTTGTTGGATTTTCTGCAAAAATGCTTAGCACCATGTTTTTCAGTATATACTTACTATGTACCTGAGGTAAAGACATAAGATTTCTGCATTAGTTTTGCTTTACCTATGTATTTGGTCCTTTTCATTAGCATGCACAACCAAAATGTATAGTTTTTCCTAATGGCACTTAAAGAGTTTGAGTTCAGAGTTTCAAAGATTTTCACTATGGTTCAGTCTTCAGGGCCCAAAGTTTCAAATTACTAATCACTGAGCTTACCTCTGAAAAGCTGAATTCCAGACTAGTACAAGAGGCAACGGTGCTGTGGTAGATGGTGATTGAGGGTCCTATGATAGAGTCCCTGATCCCTATCACTATTAGAACTACATTTTTATTTTATTTTTGGTTTTATTGAGCTGTAATTGACATACAACCTTGTGTAAGTTTCAGGTGTACAGCATAATGACTTGCTATACATAAATTGCAAAATGATTACCACAATGAATTTAGTTAACATCCACCACTCGCAGAACTCCATTTTTAAAGGGGAGGCATTTATCTTCAGTTTGCATTTCAAAAACACTATTTGAAATTCATATTTCTTTTTCTTTGTGTGAATTTTTCACCAAGACTTAAGAACCAAACGCAAAAGGCAGAGGCCAGGTTCCCTTTTAAAATTTCATGATTTTCGAAAGTTATTTATTCTTCATCCCCATATCTCTATTTAACCCAGAAGAGAGTAACACTAAAGGGAAATAGTGGGGTGGTGGCCATCCTACTTTTCTTTGAGATACCCCCATACCTGATATGCTAAATCTAAGATGCTCTCTGGGACAAAAAGGGAGATGACTAGGGATTTCTCAGCAAAGTTCTGAGTGGAAGAGGTCCCCGAATGGGCACCACCTTGCATGTTGTTTGAACTAATTGCAAGAAGCAAAGACCACTAGGCCCTCAATTGGGTGATTTCCCTTCTCTTCTACCTGATTGTTGAGTCCCCATTTTTCTTCTCTGTACCTTGTTCCCCACTATTTTAATAGATGACCTTTGAATTAGTTTTCAAGGTTTTCCCTTAAACTACCATAGCATTACATCTTTCTATTTCCAAGGGAGGGGTGACATGGGACTCCCTTTAATTGTCACATCTTACAGCGAATCAGATCCTCCCTGAAGCAGGATAGAGTGGTAGGCAAAGAAGGAAAACATTTTGCCTTATTTCATATGACCTCCTCACCCCTCACTACCAACAACTACACACATATATTCCAAACCCTGAAACCAATCCTGTGCTTTGTACAGGACTTTTAAGGAACTTTTGCTACATTCTACCCACAATTTTGTTTGGGCTGTCTATTATTTATGATTATATTTCTCTAACACCAATCAGTTGCTTATCACCATTCTCTATATTCCATCTATTTGGCTGGACTTTTTCCTTTCACGTATAGCCATGTCCACACTTCACCTTCCCCAATCTTCACTATGCCAGTACCCCAGTACCTAGGGATATATGGGGTATATTAGAGAGCTCAGTATATGCTGAGTGAATGAATGAGCTTTGGGATGAGTGCATGAGAAAATGATTGAGTGAGTGGTTGAATGAATACCTCTGAAACTGGGCTGAACCTACAGAGAGGGTATATCAGAGGGCACAGCTTAGAGGAGTTGGGAAAAGGAAAAGAAAAAAAGGAGGGGTTGACAACAGAAGAAGAAATTAAAGGAATTGTTATTTTGACCTTTAATCACTTGTTTGTTTGAACTTAGGTCTTTTAAAATGATGAACATCTTTGCTGTTACTTTAACATAGTATGTTTAAAGATTGCAAATGCATTTAAATGGGAATTTTCCATATTCTACCAGGGGCCTCATCTCTCTCAGAATTTTTACCATAAAACAGTTATCATCAAAACATTTAGTTTTACTAAGCTTACAAAATGTGTTTTTATAATATGAGAATAAAATGGAGCTATATTAATAGACTTGTAGATGATTTTTCTTAAATTTATACTTTTAACCCAAATTTGGGCTTTAGCCAAAATATATAGCAATTTTTCTGACCTAGCCAATGTATTATCCAACACATATCAACTGAAGCAATATGGAAATACTTCCCAAATGTTTGTGAATATGATATCAAGTGGCTGACGTCAGTATTAGTAATATGGAATTGGACATTTTTAAAACACACTAACATATAACTGGAGATAATGTAATTTGATTTATATATATATGCTATAAGTATATTTAAAACTTTAAATTTAAAAAGGCTTTTAGCACTTTTGATGTTTATATTTGATTCTTTATTTTTCTTTTCTTTAAATTATTTTTTATTGTGAAATACACATTTTTTAGAATTAGTTTCAGCTTACAACACATTGGAATAGTTATACTTTTTAGCCCTCGAGGTGACAACCCTCCTTCCTAATCCGTCGCCCCACTTCCCCCACAATAGCATACATATCTATTACAATTCCCTTGACTCCACTCCCACACTATACGCCACGTCCCATGACCATATATATATATATATATATATATATATATATATATATATATATATATTCACTTATAGTTGACACACAATATTGTACAACATCAACTTCAGGTGTACAATGCAGTGATCAAGCCTCTACTCCATCCATGATGTGGTCTCTCTAGCAAGACGTGTGACCATCTGACCCCCTACAAAATATTTACAACATTAATAATTACATTCATCGAACTGTCTTTCATGTCCCTGTGGTAATATTGTAGTTACCTATTTATGCTGTCTAACCCCTTCCCCTTCTCCCTCATCCCTACCCCCTCCCAACTAACAGCCATCAGTTGTTCCTCTATATCTCTGAGACCACTTCTGTTTACTTTCCTCGTTCATTCAGTTTTTTAGATTCCTCATAGAAGTGAAATCATATGGTATTTGTCTTTCTCCGACTGACTTATTTCACTTAACANACACACACACACACACACACACACACACACACACACACACACACACACACAAAGGCAGTGTCTACAAGTTGTTTCCCTAGGTCTAGCCCACTTCCTGGATACCTTTCCTAGAGATGTCAAACAGGAAGGGCATGAGCTTCCCCGTACACTTTTACAGGGTCTTCCTCTCTTAAACACAGCCCCTCACCTCTGCCCTCAGCTTGACCTCGTATCCAAAATGCAGACAGCCTCTTTAGTTCCTCTGATTCACCAGCTTCAGAGAGTAAATCTCCTGTCCCCCACAAGGGTTGGGGAGGGGTGGGACCTCCTTGCATGGACTTGGGCTCACAATTTCTCCTCCTGTTCAGCCCTCTTCACTCTCTAGCCTCAGGGGCTCAATGCTTGAGGCCCCTGGCTCTGAGGCACATGGCATCCTATTGCCACCCTCACTTCACACTCCCCTACTTCTCACTAGGAGATCTAGATTACAGTTTTACTTTACTTGAAAGTAAACAAAACTCTAGCTGTTATGTTTTCAAGTTTCTGGAGGGAGTAGAGGAAAATACACTTTTTCTATCTACCATGTTTAACTAGAAGGAAATCTTGCTTTCTTCTTAAACAAATTCATTATGACACCAAGTTGTTTCTGTTATGTCTACACACATATGGCTTGCTTTTATTACTAGTTGGTAAGTCAAAAGGGTTGATTTCCAAAAATTAGAAAATAACTAGTTGTCTGAATTTCAAGTGATGAAAGTATGTTGGAATTATAAAAGCCAGAAATTATATTGTTAAAATTACTGTTTGTAGAAATGAAGATTTGTCAAACTCTATATATATTCTAAATAACTTTTAAAATAATAAGAGAAAATATTTCACCCTAGGGAATATTTGGGGACATATACTCTGAGAATTTATTGATGTTTATAGAAGCAAGCCTAATAATAGATGGCAAGTTTGCATTTGTATGATAAAAACACTTTTTTCTCCCTTAGGGCTGTCACATGGTGACTGAAGAGCTTCATTCTATAACCTTTGAAACACAGATCTGTCTCTATGGCCTGACTATAGATTTGGAGGTAGGTATTTCAAGAAACATCTGCTATTTACTAATAACATTTTCAGGAATTGGTCAGCATCTGTAAATGAAATCTCAGTCTTTTCTAGGTATTAGTACATCCCTATTCATTATTATTGTTTAATTTTAGAAAATCAATATGGCAAATATTAACTAATTAGTCAACATATACTATTCTGATTAAATATAAATGAGAAAATCTCGTGGGCATTATGAATTCAATATACATGTATATTGCTTGTTTTCCAGGATTTTCTGAGTCATGGATACTCAGTGGAAACCCTAAAGAGAAATAAGTATCCTTGATCCATGTCATATAGTAATATCTTTTCAAAAATTTAACTTGTATGTAGAAATCCCTCAGAAAGAATGTTTTTCTAACGTAATGAATAAAGATAAATGATTGGAGCATTAACAATACATGGTTTGATCCTCTTATAACATTCACCATTGAAGTCAAA